CCCCCCCCCCTCAGGAATTGAACTCAAGTCTCCTGGGTGCGACAGCGAAGCGCCCAACCGCTAGACCACAGACTCTGGTGACCCACTTAGTGTTGAATGGATAGTTAGACTTGACCAAAAACACTCAGTGAGTGGTTGGCGAGTGCTCTGGTGTGGTTTGCTCCTTCTTTCCTATCCAACTTCTATCATCCTTATCCCCCCCCCCTTCTTCTTTTGTATTTTCTACTCTCTTAGAACACCTCTAATCTATGGCATTTATATGACCTATTGTGTTGCAAGTGCCGTTATACCTGGATACCTGGAGGTATCATCTCTTACTCAGAGGTTGACGTATAATGACCCTCCATCTTTCACGGTCGCGAGCTGTCGTTACACATTCTGTCATGTCCAGGCCAATCGATCCATGTTGTCGATCCATGTTATTCTTTGCCTTCCCCTGGCTCTTCTGCCCCACATCTTTCCTTCACACCTCTTTGACAATGGTCTCGTATCTTTGTAAAAGGCCATAGTATTGTATTTTCTACATTTTATTATTTTCAGAAACACTAACAACTCATGGCATTCCCATGACCCAAGCTCTCCGCTGGTGGCAGAGAGACGTCTCTTTCTTCCCGCGACACCCAAAAGGGTATATTATGCGGCGGATAAAAGTATAGAGTAAAAGTGTTTTGTTCAGCAGGGCTTGTCTTGTGTGTTGAATCTGTACCTTAGTAAAATTCTTATTAAAACTAAAACCCACTCACTTCCTCTGGTGGACATAGCTGGCTGGTGATCTCCTCCTGGCCACGAGCACTACCTCTCAGAGGCTTACACACGATGTACTTGTCACGCAGAGCCCGGCGATAGCCCTCGGGGCATACAATCTCGGACTGGTTCAGGATGCGTCGACCTATGTATGGGTACACAAAAGCCAATGATCAGAGCCGTTCTTAGCAGAAGTTAAATATTATTAATGTAAAGTGAAGGAATAAATACGTGAAATCGATAGGAGCTAGGTTACGTTGGGTAAAGGTGGGGGGGGGGGTGTTGTTTAATTAAGATTAAGTAGTTTCGATCTCAAATCTCAGCTTAAATTCATTAATTGTTGGGGAGAGAGAAAAATAAATTCTTTATTTTTAAGGCATATAACATATTTTAATATATTACATAATTTTGATTGTAATACTGAAATATCCTTTCCTGTAATGGAACAAACTATTTGTACTTAATGAAAAGCTTTAACATGCCTTCTTTATACAACCATTGTATAAATAAAACTACTACTAAATCCTTTACTACTCTGTAGATATGCAGCCAAACCCTTTTTCTAGTTCATGTCTTGTGAAGCTCGAGGAATTTTCACTGCTCTTCACCCATTTGGCCCGTCGTACTCACAAAACATTGTGAAGAGACCCTGGTAACCATTTCAGGGGGAGATGGAAGTTATTTATGGTATTTGTGGAAAGGGGTGTAGAACGCATGTCATTTCATTATCAAATAACACACGTTCCCCATGAAGTGTACTCGAAGGTATCGAATAAAGCGG